GTGTGCTTTTCTCTTTCCTTCTAGTTGTAGAATTTCCACTCAGCCAGCCTTCCTGTGGTTCTGGATGATGTCCGTTTTGTCTTTTCGTTGTATTTTTGAAGTGGTTGTGCGAGGCAGCAATTTCCGGTGTTTACCTATGCCGCCATCTTGGTTTTATCTCTGCGTTTTATTTTTAAAAAGATCATACATTACGATTTATTCTGGGGATACAAGGTTGGTACAATGTTGGCAAATCAATAATGTGATACATCACATAAACAAAATGAAAGATAAAAATCACATGATCATATCAATAGATACAGAAAAAGCATTTAATAAAATCCAACACTCACTTATGATAAAAACTCTCAGCAAAGTGGGAATAGAGGGAGCATACCTGAACGTAATAAAGGCCATATATGACAAACTACAGCCAACATCATAGTCAATGGGCAAAAACTAGAAGCATTTCCCTTATTGGGAAAACAAGATGTCCGCTTTCACCTTTGTTAATCAACATAGTGTTTATTGTCAATCAGCATAATGTGGCTAGGAAGTCCTAGCCACAATTATCAGACAAAATGAAGAAATAAAAGCCATCCAAATGGGAAATAAAGCAGTAAAACTATCATTATTTGCAGATGACATAGTATTGTATACCTAGAACTCTAAAGAATCCATCGAAAAATATACTAGAATTGATAAAAGAATTCAGTAAAATAGCAAGAAACAAAATAAATATCCAGAAATTAGTTGAATGTTTATATACCAATAATGAACTATCAGAAAGGGAAACTAAGAAAACAATTCCATTTACTATTGCATCAAAATTAATAAAATACAAGGAATAAATTTAACCAGGGATTTATAAGACCTGTACTGGGAAAATTATAAGACACTGAAAAAGAAAATGAAGAAGATATAAATAATTGGAAGCATAAACTGTGTTCATGGAAGGGAAGAATTAACATCATTAACATGTGCATACTACCCAAAGTAATTTATATATTCAACTCAACTCCTATCAAGATACCAATGGCATATTTCACAGAACTAGAACAAACATTCAAAAATGTGTATGGAACCACAAAAGACCCCAGTAGCCTCAGCAATCTTGTGAAAAAAGAACAAAGTTGGAGGAATCACGCTGCCTGATATCAAATATACTATCAGACCATAGTAATCAAAACAGCATGGTACTAGCTTAAAAACAGATATATAGACCAATGAAACAGAATAGAAATCCCAGAAATAAACCCATGCCTTTATGGTCAATTAATATTTGACAAAATAAGCAAGAACATACAATGGGGTAAATATAGTCTCTTCAATAAACAGTGTTCTGAAAATTGTATACATACATGCAAAAAAAATACATGAAACTAGACCACCGTTTTACACCTTACACAAGAATGAACTAAAAAAAAAGAATGAACTCAAAATGGATTAAAGACTTAAGTGTTAGACCCAAACCCATAAAAATCCTAGAAGAAAACATGGGCAGTAAAATCTTGCACATTTCTCCTAACAATATTTTTTTCAGATATTTCTCCTCAGGCAAGGGAAAGGAAAGAAAAAAATAAACAAATGAGACTACATCAAACTAAAACATTTTTGCACAGCAAAGGAAAGCATCTACAAAATTAAAAGACAATCCACTGAATGAGAGAACATATTCACCAATGATGTGTCTGATAAGATGTTAATATCCAAAATTTATAAAAAAACTTATAAAATTCAACACCAAAGAGCAAACTATCAGTTAAAAAATAAGCAAAGGAGTTGAATAGACACTCCTCCCAAGAGGACATACAGATGGCCAGTAGACATATGAAAAGATGGTCATCACTAATCATCAGAGAAATGCAAATTAAAACCACAGTGATATATCACCTCATACCTGTCAGAATGGCTATCATCAGTAAATCAACAAACAAGTGTTGGCGAGGACATGGAGAAAAGGAAACCTAGTACACTGCTGGTGGGAATGCAGATTGGTGTAGCCACTGTGGAAAACAGTATGGAGTTTCCTAAAAATAATTAAAAATGGAGCTGCCATATGACCCAATGATCCCACTTCTAGGAATATATCCTAAGAAACCTGAAACACCAATCAGAAAGAATATATGCACCCCTATGTTCATTGCAGCATTATTTACAATAGCCAAGATTTGGAAGCAGCCCAAGTGTCCATCAATAGGTAAGTGGATAAAAAAGCAGTGATACATTCACACAACGGCATACTACTCAGCTATAAAAAAGAAGGAAATCTTACCTTTGCAACACCATGGATGGAGCTGGAGAGTATTATGCTAAGTTAAATAAGCCAATCAGAAAAAGACAAGTAACATATTATTTCACTTCTATGTGGAATCTAATGAACAAAATAAACTAAAAAACAAAATAGAAACAGACTCATAGCTACAGAATACAGATTGAAAGTTGTCAGAGGGGAGTATTGGGGGACTGGGTGAAAAAGGTGAAGGGATTAAGAAAAAAGCAAACTTATAGACACAGACTACAGTATGGTGATTTCCAGAGGGAAAGTGAGGTGGGGGAAGATAGAAGAGGGTAAAAGGGAGATAAATGGTGATGGAAGGAGACTTGACTTGAGGTGGTAAACACACAATACAATAGACAGATGATGTGTTATAGAATTGTACACATGAGATCTATTTAATTTTATTAGCAAATGTCCCCCCCCCAGCACAAATTCAATAAATAAAAGGAACAAAAACAGAAAGAACAAAAGAAAAAAATTAAAAATGTATATAAAAGAAAAGCTTAGGAGATATTTTAGTATACAATCATGTATGTATTTATGAAATTGAATTCCTTCTCCTGTGCCCAGCCTTGTTCTAAAAGCATCCATATGTAAAATCTCACTGATAAAAAAATTCTATTAGCCAAAGTGATCTTTTAAGTGCTTATATTAGTCATGATTTCACTTGTTTTTTCTTACTAAATTCTTGACATTTATCTAGGTTAATGAAGTTTAATTACTATAAGAAATTGACAGAAGCCCTTATAAAATTCTCAAATTTTAAGAAGAGTTTACAAATGGATGCATGTAATTTTTATTCAGCTAATCTGTTCTTGTTTTGGAGTATTGATCTGATGTGTTTATGATGAAAGAACATTATCACATGAAGTGGTTTGGTGGAAATTTTGTTTCCTTAACAACTGTTTCTTTTGGGTGAAAACTGAGTAACTTTTTTTCAGATTCTAAGGCAATGCAGTTCAACTACCACTACAAGTTTAATTTTAAATAATGACATTTTCTTATCAGACTATTGGCCTAAATGTAGTTTAACAAGATAGGTAAAAAACCACTTTATTTTTATTCTCTTGATTTATTTGTTGTAGAATTTTTGGAATTTTGCTGGTCTTTGTGGATGTGTCCCTCGTCATTGCAGACCTACTTACCACTGATCAAACAATGTATATTCCTTTGGTATATCGTTTAATTTCTTTATTGATTGGTTTATATTTTTTCATGGATATTCTTCTTCGAGTATTTGTAGAAGGGTAAGTTTGATTAATTTTTCTAAAAGCACATCAAGCTATTTTGTACTGCTATGAAAGCATCCCCAAATAATTTTCAGGTCAACCCAACCAGATGTGTCCCTCTTTATTAAGACAAGTCTCCTAGAAGGCACGGTCCACAAGAGAAACAACAATCCAAATCCCAATTTATACTAGACTAGAGGCCCGGTGCACAAAAATTTGTGCACTGGAGGGGGAAGGGAGGTGAGGGGGGTCTCCCTCAGCCCCACTTGTGCCCTCTCACAGTCTGGGACCCCTCGGGAGATAACCACCTGCTGGCTTAGGCCCGCTCCCAGGGTGGCAGATGGCAGGCCCGATCCCTCGGTGCCTGCCCCACCTCCCTGGGTCATGCACACGGCAGGGCCGATCCAGGGGTTGGGGCACCGCCCCAGGTTCGGGTCACACA